CTGAATGGAATTCGTCAGTCATTTTTTAAAATGAGGACGCTCTATAGGTACTGATCTGGAACAACCTCCAAAGTGCTGTGCTACATGTATAGAATGCTACTAATATAAAAAGAATATAGCTAATCATCTATGCTCATGGGTGTATAAAATATCTCTAAGGTGTATTAAAAAGACAGTCACCCCCATTTAGGCCTCCAGGAGAGGAAACGGGGTTCACAGGGGAAGGGGCAGGAGCAAGACTTTCGATAGTTCGACTCTGCCATTTTGTACCTTCTTAACTGTATTCCATGTACATGCATTACCTACATATGTTTTTTACAAATCTAAGGTTTAAAAGAAATAAAAACAAAATGAAGATATTAAAAAAATATAAAGACTATGTAGCAAGGTGGGGAAATACTTGTAATATGTTTGGTTTAAAGAGTATGCAAAATTGTATCTACATGATAATTAAAAGTACATAAAAGATGGCCGTTCATGGTCAACGAGTAGACACACACATATGAAAGGAATGTGTTGTTAAGTGGCCGTGCAAGCGCTGATTTTTCTTAACTTTGTAGGCATTATAAAATGGTATGATAACACGTAAGGTAAATGACAATTTGGTAAAAAGAAAAATCAGATTTAGAGCGCAAAAAGCTAATCCTCTCAGGGTTTTCAGAGAGAGGCTTTTTCCACGAAGCGAGGCGCACCGGGTCATGCCGCTGGAGCGGTTCTGTTTGGTTTCCTGCTAGCCTCGCCAGGGCAACGAGGTGCAGGGCCAGTCATTGCACTTGGTCACGTCCTCACGCTCAGCACTCATTTGCCGGACCCTGGACCATCTGTTTGTTTGTTGAGAAAGGGGCCTGCACAAACAAGAAGGGGCTTTCTGGAGGCGGGAAAGCCAGGGTGTTAAATATGCTGCACTTCCTTCCTGGAGTAAGGGCCCCAGTAGGAAACCGGAGGTGGGCTCTGTCCAGGAAGGAAGGAGAGTCAGCCAACCTTTGTCCTTCAGCTCTGCATCCTCCCCAGCTCTGCCAACCCAGGGTCCACCTGTTCTTGGAGGCATGTCCCTTCCAGGATGCCTGCCCCATTCACCCTTCAGAGCAGCCGTGGAAGAGGGGAAAGACCCAGACTGGATGTCAAGAGACTGACTCTGTCTCTAAGTACATGACCTCATACAAGTCAATTAGCCTCCCTGAGCCTCAGTTTTCTCATCTACAATATAATCCTACCTATCTTTTCATGCGTCCAGAGGAGGGAACAAGATTGCCATGTCTCATTCTAGGCCCCACATTATTTTTCTGCCTACTGCTTCTCAGTCTCCTTGGCTTGCTCCTCCTTGGCCTGTGCCTCACAGTTCTCAGGCCTCTGTCCTCCTTTTCTCCCTCCTTGGGCTCCCAGACCTAATCCATCACTCATTACACCTGTGCTCCAGATCCACCCATCCAACTAGCCCTCCACTGGTGCCTCCCACAAGCATCTCAAACTTATCTGAAATTGAACTCATCTTCCTCTCCAAACTTGGTCCTCATCCAGTGTTCTCCATCCCAGCAATATTTCTAACATCCAGCCAGTTGCTCAATTGCTGGGGATATTCTTTGTCTCTACTCCAACATTCAAGATTTCAGCAGCAGCCGTCTTCCACCATGTAGCCTAGGAAACATAAAAAGCTGATGGAACCAAGAAAAAAATGAAGCAAACACACCAAGAAGCCAGGCAGAGAATAGGAGAGAAAAGACTATCAGGGCTCGTAAAAGTCTACATGGTCTGATTCTGTCCTTGAGCCTTTGCTTAAGTTAGTCTGAGTTGGGTTTCTACACTTGCAGATACAAGAATCTCTACTAATATAAACACTGTCAGTTAGAATAGGCTAGGTTATGTTGTGGTAATGAACAACCCCCACATTTTGGTGGCTTAATTCCACCACATGTCCATCAGCAGCAGGGTGCTCAGCTCACTGCAGTCTCTCAGAAAGTAGCCAGCATCTTAGCTGTTGTTAATCACTGTTTCACAGGGAAAGAGAAACGTGAAGGGATCTGCTGCCAGCAATTCACTGTTCCAGTTCAGAAGTCACGTTTCACCTCCATTCATAACTCATTGACCAGAATAAGTTACCTGGCCCCACCCAACCACAAGGGGGCTACAAAGTACAATCCTGCCATGTGCCTGAAATAGTTAGTGAATTAACCTTAATAAAACATACATTTCCTGCTGCCTATTCTGTGCCAAGCTCTGTGCTTAACGAAACCGAGGCTCAGGAAGGTCAGGTAACTCAGTCACTGTACCATGCAGAATGATTCTCAGTGGTCCAGAAGGATAGGGCAGGCTGCTGAATGGGAGAATTATTTATGAGGGGTAACACATTACCTGGTACTAAAAATAAATGCTGAGTAGCTTTTCTTCCCCTGCCTCTGGAGGCATTGATGAACAGGCTGTGTGATCACTTATTAGGGTTGCCAAAGAGGGCAGTCAAGTACCAGATGGGTAGCAGCACTGTGCACAGCCTTCCAAGCACGAGAATCTAACTCCACTTTTCCTAGAATAATTATTCCCCTTCCTGGCAGTAATATTGCAAGATAATTGACTACTCCCCCCACCCCCCCACTCCTTCAAAGCACTGTTGGCTCCATGGGTGGGAAACTAAAGCCTAGAAAGGATATGGAGAAATTACAGGTGGACAAAACACCAATCAGTAATACTGAGTGCCCATGACATATAAAGTGTATTGTTCTGAGCCATTAAGACAATGTATTTAGCAGGAAAGGAGCATGAGAAAGAGGCTTATGAGGTCTGTCCAGAAAAAGTCCAGCCATGGTTAATATAATGAGAATGGTTTGCATGACTTTGATGTGACCTGGCAGCCAACAAGAGGGGACCGGAATGTTCATGTGTCAACAATGACACTTCACTGTACTAGTCAGTGGGGATGGTAGACATTGTTGAGTGAGCATGTGTACTGTGTGGCCATTGCATTCAAAATGACTGAGTAGAACAAATCAGCATCAAATTTTGCGTTAAGCCTGAACGTTCCTCTGTGGAAACTATTGCAATGATTCAGAAGGCTGCAGCTACGGGCAACTGGTGACTGACTGGCAACTTCAATCACGACAATGTGCCTGCTCATGCATCACATCTACTACAGAGATTTTTAGTGAAACATCAAATCACCCGGGTAACTCAGCCCCCCTACAGCCCAGATTTGGCATCCTGACTGAGACTTCTGGCTTTTCCCAAAACTAAATCACCTTTGAAAGAGAAGAGATTTCAGACTGTTGAGAGATTAAGGAAAATATGATGGGGCAGCTGATGGCAACTGGGGGAACTGTGTGAGGTCCCAAGGTGCCTGCTTTGAAAGGGACTGAGGCATCATTGTCCTACATACAATGTTTCTTGTATCTTTTATCTTCTTCAATAAATGACTCCATTTTTCATATTACATGACTGGGTACCTTCTGGACAGACCTCATATACCTGGGACCTAGTCCTGGCTTTGTCATTAATTTAAACTTGCACTTTGTACAAGTTTCTGCCAAAGTCTTAGTTTCATCTTTATACAATGAGGACACAGGAATATACCTCTAAAGTCCTTTTTGTCTTGAATAACTGATATAAATTATGTGCAGAGTCAAAAATCAACCCTCAAAGGTGGGAGGACTCACCCTTCTTAGAAGACAGTGAGGCCACAGAGCCCTGGGAAATCAAAGAGACTTTAGATATGATATTGTCTGAAGTTGCATTTTTCAACATGGTAGTCACTAGCCACACTCGGGCTCCTGAACATTTCAAGTGTGGAACAAACTGGTGTGCTGTAAGTGTGAAATGCATGCTGATTATCTGGATTTAGTACACTTTTTGTAAAATATTTTTGTACTAACAATACTTGGGGCTCACTGGGTTAATTAAAATGTTATTAAAATTACATTAATGTTATTGAAAGTTAATTTACTTTTAAAAGGTTATTAAGAGGTGAATTTAAATGTTATTAAAAGTAAGACACAGTGTCAACTGTGTTTTACTTTTTTAATGCAGCTACTAGAAAGTGTAAAATTATGAGGCTCCCACTGTACTTCCACTGGACAGTGCTTGTGTCAGAGAAAACTGAAGCCCAGAGTGGGTGACTTGCCCGTAGAACCAGGTCTGGAATGAGGGTTACCTGACTTTTCATTTAAGGCTCTTTCCACCCTTCCTGTCTATGGTAGCCAGTCTCCAGGATGGTCCCTAATGATCTTCACATCCCATCATTCTCATATAGTACTTTCCACACTGAGTTAGGGCTCACTGATTTGTTGACTGCAGAAATGACTGAGTGATTTCCAAAGCTGGGTCATAAAAGGCATTGTGGCTTCTACCTTGTCTCTCTGGCATTACTTACTCTGGGGGAAGCCAGTGTGGGGTCATGAAAATATTGAAGTGGCCCTTGAGGAGTGGGCCACATAGTAACTGAGGCTTCCTATCAACAACCGGCACCAACCAAGCATGGGAGTGAACCATCCTGGAAGCTGATCCTTCAGCCCCAGTCAAGCCTCCAGATGACAGCTGCCCCAGCTGACATCTTGACTGCAACTCCTGAGATCTTGACCCAGAACCACTCAGCTAAGTTCTCCCAAATTCCTGACCCACATACTATATATGATATAAAAAATGTTTATTGTTGGAAGTTTATGTTTTGGAGTGATTTGTTATACAGCAATAGATAACAAATACAAAGCCCTGTATCCTTAGAGATCTCATATAAGAAAAACTTCTATCTTTGGGAAGTTTTCTTATCTTCTCCCAGCCTCTGGCCTGGTTTAGGTTACCTAATTAAAAGTAGCCATCAGACTTGGGGAATTCAACCCAGGAAGACAGGATCCCATTCTATTCTTTAAAGAAGTTTTCCCTTTATTGCAGAATGAGATCACATCCCCTTCACCTGGGCCATCCAGAGACATGATTCCTACAAAATTAAAGGAATTGGAACCCCAGAATTGCCCAGTTAAATACAGCATTAAGTAATAAATAATCAAGAAATGACACTGTAAGCTTAGAAAGTGACACCAATGGTAGTGCTAAAACATTATATTTAAATAGCATGTGTTATTTTTCATGTTACCACTTTTATATGAGGTAGGTGGGGAAAGCATAAATAAACCAGGTTACATATGAAACCAGTGACAGAGCTCCTGATTTGCAAATAGTCCCATGGGTGAATGACAGGGCCAAATCTAGAATCTGGGTTTCAGTGACTCCAAGTCTGGCTCGGTGCCTTTCCAAGGCAGCACCTTCTGGCTGTGGTAACACGAACGTCCTTCAGCTGGAACCGTCCTCTGAGATCAAGGTGCACTTGTAGGTCTCCTTAAAGGCCTCAAGGAAAGGTGGTATAACTTCATCAACTGTGACGTGCCTCTGGAGCTCCTTACTCAGGGAAGTGACGCCGGTCCCAACCAGGCCGCAGGGCACGATGTGTTCAAACCACGTGAGGTCTGTACAACAGTTCAGAGCCTGGCCGTGGGATGTTATGTGCCTTCCGCAGCGGACTCCTGCAAGACAAGCCAAAGAGTGTTAGAATCAACACCTTCCCTCCCCAGGCTTCAAGATCCCTCTCAGTGTGTTGAGGGAACTGGACCAGGTCACTGATTTTCAGACTTCTTTTCTGGAGCAACCAAGGGGTTATGCACAGATCCGAAGAGGAGAACAAAGTGAGGGAAGTGGTGTGTGGCTCCACAATAACTGCGCTTATTATGAGGATTACAGACAATGCCTTCAACACAGGGATTGTTGCTTTAAAAAAGATGTGAAAACTAAGTGCTTTTATTGTTCTAACACTGTGAAGTAACCTGGCAATTCACTTCTCCTGTCTCTTCCTTTGGAAAGTTGTACGAGATGACTGTTGGGGCCCTTCTAGCTCTGAATATACCACATCAGTGAAGAGGCTTAAAAACTCTTAAGCAAATCGGGTAGATAAGACTCAGAGCCCGCGCGCAATACACCTCGATTGGCCCAGCCCCGCGGGCCCTGCCCCCTCAAAGCTCACCAATAGCGCAGATCTTTTGCTCGCCAAGCCAGACGCCCGTGTACGGCGGTGGCCGTGCTCTGGCGCCCTGCAAGCCTTGGAGCTCGCACAGGCGCACGGCGCACGCCTCCAGCGCCGCCACGTGGGTGCGCAGGCGCAGGCCCAGGCGCCGCAGGTCGAGTACTGCATGGCAAAGGAGCTGGCCAGGACCATGGAAGGTGGCCAGACCGCCGCGGCCTGTGGCGTGCACCTCGGCGCCCAAGGCCCGCAGCCGCGTCACCTCCTCGGGCGTCAGGCCGCCGCGGAGCCCGGCAGTGTACACCGGCCCCGCGGGCTCGCAGACCAGGAGCGCGCCCGCCTCAGTCCTCGACAGGGCCTCGCTGGCCGGCTCCGCCCGCAGCAGCCGGAGCCAGTGCTCCTGCAGTGCTAGTAGCTCGGCATACCGAACCTGACCCAGCCGAACAAGCCGTACTACGGCTGGTTTCATCCCGTCCGCTGAGGCGCCCGCGCGGCTCCGCCCCGGGCCTGGGCCCGGGGGCGTGTCGGGAGGGGCGGAGCTTAGGGGGCAAGTCTGGAGCCTCTGCTCCCGAGTGCTTGTTATGGGCTCAAGGGAGAGGAGATCCCAACCACTACAAGGTGTGTCTTCCATTCATTCATTTCAGAAACCGGTACTTACGGCCTGCGTGTGCCTCAGGCACTTGATACAGTGGTGCACATATAGGGGAGAAAAATCTGTCTTGGGAAGCTTACATTCTTACAGCAGGCAGTAAGCAAGCATTAAAAGCATGAAATAAATAAGGTTCTTTCACATACTGATAACCGCTAAGGAAAGAAAAATAAAATAGGGTAATGTGACATTCTCTAGGAAGAGTCTCAAAAGGAGGTTAAGATTTGAGAGATTTATTGAGGTGGGGGCGAGGGTGGAGGGTGGGAGATACTTTCAAGACCACGCCTTTTAAGGGAGGGATAGAAGCAGGATTAGGCAGAGGGAGAAATGAGTCTCAGCAGCGGCCTCAACCAATCCCAAAGAATGCTCTGAGCCTGGGATGATCTTTCAAAGTTGTTCCAAATTAAAGAAAAGTGGCAGAAGTTTATATTCTTGTATTGACCGGTGATAGAGGCTATATCTGGAGAGGTGCTATATAACTTGGGAAGGCTGCTTCCTTTGGGGGAGGACAGTTCCTAGAGAGAAATTATGAGCCATGAGCAACCACCTCCCAGAAACTGGGGGAATGACTGGCTAGGTCCTGAGGGTGGATCCGGATAACAATACTCATTATATTGTATTGGAATGGTATTAAAAATGACAAATCTGAATTCATTCAATAAACTTACTGAGAACCAACTATGTGTTAGGCCCATTGCTGAGTGAAGGGGATACACAAGGCCATGCCACCCCTGTAACCCTAATAGCATACAGGATCCAGTTTTTATGTTCTCAATGTATCTTCCAAATCTGTCTTTCAAGCTGCAACCAAGGATCATTCAATGGAAAGAAAGAATGAAAACAAGAAAGCAGAAAAGTGTAGAGAATGATGTAACAAATTACTGTTTACCCACCATCCAGACTTGTCAAATTTTAACTTTTAAAAATTTTACTCAGGTATTTTTAATTTTAGAAACTAATGACATTGACCACTCCTGTAGGTATCTGAAAGACACTTCATTAATATATATATAAATATCATAAGCAAATATTAGCAGATTAAATCCAGCAATGTGTAAAAGGATTAATGCATCATGATAAAGTACTATTTATCCCAGGAATACACTCTAAAATCAAACAATATAATTTATCATAAAGGAGAAAAACTGTATGATTATTTTCCATAGATGCAGAAAAAGCAGTTGCCAAAAATCAACACCCACTCTGACTGAAACTCTCAGCAAACTAGGAAGAGAAATTCCACAATCTGATGAAGGGTATTGGATCAAATCAGGGTACAGATGAGAGAGAAACTACACAGGTAATATTTTATTTTATTAAAAAATTTTTATTTGTTGATTTTAGAAAGGAGAAGGGAGGAGAAAGAGAGATAGAGACAGACAGGCAGACAGACAGACATTGATTTGTTGTTCTACTCATTTATGCACCCATTGGTTGATTCTGGTATGTGCCCTGACTGGGCATTGAACCCACAACCTTGGCATAATGGGACAAAGCTCCGGCCAACTGAGCTGCTCAGCCAGGGCACACACAGGTAATATTATAATTAAATTCTTTATTTTGAGACAGTTGTAGACTACTTTGCAATTGTAAGGAATAATAGAGAGATGTCCAGATTTTCCAAAGGTAATGTCCTGTCAATGCAAAATTGGATCTTGATGTTGGTACAGTAAAGATACAGAACATTTACACCACCAGAAGCCTTCCTCACATTGCTCCTTTATATTTAGTCCTTAACTCCTGGCAAACAATAATCTGTGTTATACAAATGGAATGATACAGTATGTATACTTTTGGAATTGGAATTTTTTTACTCAGCATAATTTTCTGGAGACTCATCAGGTTCTTGCATGTATCAATAGTTAATTTCCTTTCATTGACCAGTGGTGTTCTATGGTATGGATGTGCCAGTGTTTGTTTAAATATTCATTCACTAAAAAATAATTAAGTTATTTCCAGTTTTCAAATGTTCTGAATAAAGCTGCTGCAAACATTCGTGGACAGGTATTTTGTGTGAATGTATGTTATATTTTTCTGGAATAAATGCTCAGGAGTGCAGTTGTGTGTTTAGTTTTTCAAGAAAATGCCAAACTGCTCTTCAGTATAGCTGTACCATTTTACATTCTCACTAGCAATACACATACCTACATACATACACACACACATAAATATGTGTGTGTGTGTGTATATATATATATATATATATATATATATATATATGATCCAGTTCCTCTGCTTTCTCACTAGCATTTGGCATTGTCATTTTTTTTTTTATTTTACACATTCTGATAGGCTTATAGTTGTATTTCATGGTGATTTTAATTTATATTTCCCTAATGGCTAATGATGATGAATATCTTTTCATGTGCTTACTTTTCATCTTTATATACTCTTCAGTGAAATGTCTGTTTGTGCCTTTTGCCCATTTTCTAATTGATTGTGTTTTGTTTTGTTTTGTTTTTTTTTACCGTTGAACTTTGAGAGTTGTTTTCTAAATACTCATCCTTTGTCCGATGTGGATTGTAAGTAGTTTCTCCCACTCAGTGGCTTTGAGCCAAAGCCACATGGTCTTTGAGCCAAAGTTTGTAATTTTGATCAAGTCTAATTTATCCTTTTATGTATCATGCTTTTAGTGTAAGAAGTCTTTGCCTAGCCCTAGATCCTGAAGACTTTCTTCTGTTTTTCCCTAAGTTTTGAAACTCTGGTGTTTTTTTTTTTAATATTCACCCAAGGACATTTTTTCATTGCTTTTAGAGAAGAAAGAAGGCAGGGAGAGAGAGAGTCATCAATCCAATCAGTAGCCTCCTGCACATGCCTGGACCAGGGGTCAAACCTGGGATCAAACCTGGGATCAAACCTAGGATCAAACCTACAACCGAGGTATGTGTCCTGACCAGGAATCGAACCTGCAGCTTTGTGTTGTATGTGACGTTGCTCCAACCAACCGAACGAACCACATTGGTCAGGTCTTTTATTTCTGCCGTGGTTGTCCTTTTGCTCCAGTACCAATTGTTCAAAAGACGATATTTCCTTTATTTAATTGCTTTTTAAAAAAGATTTTATTTATTTATTTTTAGAGGGAGAGAAAGAGAGGGAGAAAGAGAGGGAAAAACACTGATTGGTTGCCTCTTGCACTGGAAATCAAGCCTTTTGGTTCACAGGCCCTGTGCTCAATCCACTGAACCACACCAGTCAGGGCCCTTTTTCTTTTTTCTTTCCTTTTCTTTTCTTCCTTCCTTTCTTTTTTTAAGATTTTGTAATTGCTTTTACATCTTTGTCAAAATTGGACATAGTTGTGTGGGCCATATTCACAGTTCTCTTTCACTGATCTGTGTGTTTTTCCCTCCACCAGTACCACCTGGTCTGATTGCTATAACTATAGAACGTCTTAAAATTAGGAAGTTTGATTCCTCCCACTTTATTCTTCCTTTTTCCAAAAATTTTTTAGTTATTTTAAATTGTTTTAATTATTTGCCTTTTCATGTAAATTTTAAATCAAGTATTATCTATATTTAAAAATCTTCATGGGATTTTGATAGGAATTGCATTAAACCTGGACATGAGTTTGTGGGGAATTGGTGTATTTGCCACATTGGGTCTTTCAGTCAATGAAAATGGTATATCTTACCTTTTATTTAGATCATCATTGACTTCTTTCATTAGTGTTTTGTAGTTTTCAGCATACAAATCTATACATGTTTTGTTAGATTTACGAGATCTGTCCAGAAAAAGTCCAGCCATTGTTAATGTAATGAGAATAATTGTACAACATTGATATAACCTGGCAGCCAAGGAGAGTGGACTGGAATGCACACGTGTGAACAATGACAACTTCACTGTACTAGTCAGTAGGGGCAGTAGGTGCTATTGAGTGAGCATGTGTACTGTGTGGCCATCACATTCAAAATGACTGAGTGAGTAAAGCCACTGAATCTGCATCAAATTTTGCATTAAGCTTGAACATTCCTCCACGGAAACTATTTAAATGATTCAGAAGGCCATAGTTATGGCCAACTGGTGATTGGAAGCTTCATCACAACATTGTGCCCACTCATGCATCACAGCTGGTGCAGAGTTTTTTGATGAAACATCAAATCACCCAGGTGACTCAGCTCCACTACAGCCCAGATTTGGTGTTCTTTGACTTCTGGGTTTTCCCCAAACTAAAACACCTTTGAAAGGGAAGAGATTTCAGATTGTCAATGAGATTCAGGAAAATATGACAGGGCAGCTGATGGTGACTGGGAGAACTGCATGAGGTCCAAAGGTGCCTACTTTGAAAGGGACTGAGGCATCATTGTCCTAGGTACAATATTTCTTGTATTTTGTATCTTCTTCAATAAATGTCTCTATTTTTCATATTACATGGCTGGATACCTTCTGCATATACCTCGTATATGTAAGTATTTCTCTCTCTTTTGGTGATTCTAAATGGTATTGTATTTTTAATTTCTGTGTTCCTATGTTCATTGCAAATATATAGAACTACAACTGATATTTGTATGTTCATCTTGCACCCTGCAATATACCTTGCTTAACTCACTTATCAGTTCTAGAAGGTTTTTTGTATATTCCTTAGAATTTTCTACAGAGGCAATATTATTGTCTGCAAATACAGATCTCCTTTCTTTCTTTCCAATGGGTATGCACTTACTTAATTACCTTGTTTTGTTTTATTGCACTGAATAGAACTTCTAGCACTATGTTGAATAAGCATAGTATGAGCAGACATTCCTGCCTTTTTCCAATTTTAGGAAGAAAGTGTTCACTGTTAAATGTACTGTTTGTTGTAGGTTTTTGTAGTTGAGCTTTATCACATTGGGGAATTTCCCCTCTATTCCTGTTTTCCTGAGAGTTTTTATCATGAAGGATATTGAATCTTGTCAAAAGTGGGGTTTTTTTGGTTTTGTTTTTGCAATGATTGATATGATCATGTGATTTTTCTTCTTTAGCTTGTTAATGTGGTAGGTCACATTGATTTTTGAATGTTGAATGTTACTAGCCTGGAGCAGTTGAAATGAATCCCACTTGTTTATTGTGTATAATTCTTTTTATACATCGTTGTATTTGGTTTGCTAATATTTTGTTGAGGATATTGCATCTAAGTTTAAGAGAGATATTGGTCTATGGTTTCCTTTTTCTGCTTCTTTGGTTTTGGTATAGGGTAATACTGGCTTTGTAAAATGAATTGGGAAGTATTTGTCCTTTTCCATTTTCTAGAAGAGATTGTATAGATTGTCTTCATTCTTTTTTAAACATTTGGTAGAATTCTCCATGAAACCATCTGCACCTGGAGATTTTCTTCTTGGGAGTTTTAAAATTACAATATTTCTTAACAGTTATAGGGCTACTCAAATTATCTCATAATGGATGAATTGTAGTAGTTTGTGTTTTTCAAGGAATTGGTCCATTATGTCTAAGTTGTCAAGTTCATGGCAATAGAGTTGTTTGTAGTACTCATTACTATCCTTTTGATGTTTACATGGTCTGTAGTGATGTCCTTTTTGTCATTTCTGGCGTTGATAATTGGTGTGTATGTGTGTCTCTATCAGTCTTGCTAGAGGCTTGTCAATTTTATTAATTTTCTTCAAAGAATCATTGTTCCTTTTGTTTTTATGTTTTTGGTTTCACTAATTTCTGCTCTTTATTATTTCCTTTCTTCTGCTTGCTTTGTGTTTATTTTGTTTTGTTTTTTTCCCCTATGTTTTCTAGTTGGGACCTTAGGTCATTGATTTGAGATATTTTCTTTTCTAGTGTATGTATTTAGTGCTATAAAATTTCCCTCTCAGTGTGACTTTATCTGGATCCCACAACATTTGATATGATCTGTGTTTATTTAATTCAATACATTTTTATTTCCCTCCAGATTTCCTCTTTGACCTATGGGTTATTTTTAAGTCTGTTGTATTTTTGTTATCTTTCTGTTACTGATTTCTAGTTTGATTCCATTTTAGACAGAAAACACTCTATGTGTGATTCAGATTCTTTTAAATTTATATTTTTAATGGTTCAGTATATGGTCCATTTGGGTACATTTTCTGTGGACACTTTAAAAGAATGTGTATTCTGCATTTGTTTGGGGCAGTGTTCTATAAATGTGCATTAGGATATGTAGGTCAGTAGCATTTGTGAGTTCTCTATAGTTGCTGATTTTCGGTCTAGTTGTTCTACCAATTGCTCAGATGGGGTGTTGAAGTCTCCAACCATATTGTGGATTTAGTCATTTCTCATTCTATCAGTTTTTGCTTCACATATTTTGCAGCTCTGTTGCTTGGTGTATATCCATTAGCTCCCCAAAAGACTCATCACTTCACTTGCCACCTAAACTTTGTGGGTCCCCTGGCCACCTGAACTTCTGATCAACTACAAATCTTGGGGTTCCCACAGCCCCTTGTGTTCAATAATTTGCTAGACAACTCACAGAACTCAGGAATGTGCTGTATTTACAATTATAGTTTTATTATAAGGAATGCAAATCGGGAGCAGTTAAGGGAAGAGACACATGGGAGGCATTTGGGACGGTCCTGAATGCAGAGTTGCCTTGACCTCTCCCCATGGAGTCTGGTGCAGCAGCCCCCTGGCACCTCAGCATGTTCACCCACCAGGAAGCGCTACTGAACTTTGGTATCCAAAGTTTTTATTGGGGTTTTATCACACGGGCGTGACTGATTGAATCACTGGCCATGGGATTGAACTCAGTCCCAGTCCTTCTCCTCTCCCCAGAGATCAGGCTGGCTCAAAGTCCCAGCCCTCTGATTGTGGGGTTGGTCTTTCCAGTGGCCAGGCCACATCCTGAGTCCTCACATCTCTTGGCAGAAATTCACGTTTATGGTCTAAATAGCACATGATAACAAAGACACTCCTATTACTTGGAAAATTTCAAGGGTTTAAATCTACCCTCCCAGGAATTAGGGACGAAGTCCAGTCAAATTGTTTATTACATAAGAGATATGTATTATTATTGCCCTGTTTTGCAAGTACGTAGATACCTACAGAGGCTGCTCAAAGGCTCATATCTAGGAGCTAGCAGAACGAGACTCAGTCCTAGATATGTCTGATCAGAATCTCAATGCTCTTCTCCACTCTGTATAGTCTGAAGTACTTGTTCACTATTTACAGGATGAATAGATGACTAGGAAAACATCAAAGATGATTCTGAAATTTCCAGTTTGGGGGGTGAAGAATGATCAAGGCCTTTCTAAGAATTTCTTTGTTTTAGATGCATGTATTTTATAGATCCTATCCAATATTAAAGTGTTTCTGTATCAAATATTATTTTTATGCTAAAAATATTGGAAAGGATTTTTAAAATTTAACTTTGAACTCATTTGGCTCTATCTACTTAAATTATGGCAATATTTAATTTCTTGGCAATCACAGTCTGTACATGCAATGTTTACAAAGTGAGACAATCAGACTTGCAGGTTATCTTAAATTGTAATTAAGTAGTTATGAATACCAACTCCACCTCTTAAGGTCTGCATCACAGCCAGGGGCAAGGCTACCACATTGCACAATGGCTGGGAGCACCAGTCACCTAGACCAGCATTTAAACGTGCCCCCTGGAGTCATCCAATGCAGTAGCCCTATGCAGTGAGTTAGGGCAAAGATGAAGAAGAGTCCATAGTTCCTGCACAACCAGGAGTAGCAGGTGTCACTGGTACTCACTTCCTATGTCCAGAACTTAGTCACATGACCACATCTGGCTTTAAGAGGGGTTGGGAAGTGCCTTTTGTATAGTGTAGTCTCTGTGCCCAGTTAAAACTCAGGTGACCCATTAATAAAGGGAGAAGAGGATACATGGCAGTCACAGTCACTATTACATTGAATAACTAATAAAATTGCTATAAGTTTACATTGGTAGACATCTGGTTAGAAAT